AAGGAAGGTTGGGAAATCTACTTCCATAGTGATACCACCTTGGAAACCCAAAGTTGGGTCCGAATTGACGGTACATAGCAACAACAACAACACAGTGACTCTATGTTTTCTTTCCATCTTCTTTTGATGTTTCCTGCATTGTTCAATATTTTGCCCATAGAATCCTTCAATATTGTAACTCAAGGGTGCATTCATTTTTTTTATTGAGAAATGCCAAAAGTGTTAGTCCCTTTTGGTTTTCTAACTCTAGGTCATTGTACATTTAATTGTTATACTTTCCTTTGTCTTCTTGAGCCTCTTTATTATCTTCTGTTCAGCACTTTTATCATTTCTTCCATTTGCTTTAGTTACTCTATGTTCAAAAACAGGTTCCGGAGTCTCTTTTGACAACCGTTTTGGTATTCTCTACCTTTCCTGTCATTTAAATGACCCTTTGCTTTCTTCATGTACAATGCTCTTGATGTCATAACACAACTCATTTGGTCTTCAATTATTGGTGTTCAATGGATCAAATCTATTCTTCAAATGGTCTCTAGATTCTGGTGGGTTATAATCATGCTCATATTTTGGCTCCTGTGGACTTGTTTTAATTTGCTTCATCTTCAACTTGAATTTGTACATGAATAATTGATGATCTGTTCCACAGTCAGCTCCTGGCCTTGTTTTGACTGAAGATTTTGTGCTTCTCCATCACCTCTTTCTACAGATGTAGTCAATTTGATTCCTGTGTATTCTATCTGGTGAGGTCCACATGTAGAGTCACCATTTAAGTTGTTGAAAAAAGGTATTTGCAATAAGTTGTTGGTCTTGCAAAATTCTATCATGATGTCTCTGGCACCATTTCTATCACCAGGGCCATATTTTCCAACTACTGATGCTTCTTGTTCACTTCCAATTTTCACATATCGATGACCAGTAATCATCAATCCATCTTGATTACATGTTTGGTCAATTTTAAACTGCAGAAGTTGGTAAAAATATTCAATTTCTTCATCTTTGACTTTAGTGGTTGGTGCATAAATCTGAATAATAGTAGTATTAACTGGTCTTTTTGGTGATTATACTATCATTGATGACATTGTACTTCAGAAAAGATCTTGAAATATTCTTTTTGATGATGAATGTGACACCATTCCTCTTCAATTTGTCATTCACAGCACAGTAGACCATAGGACTGTCTGATTCACAATGGCTAACACCAGTCCATTTCAGCTCACTAATACCTGGGATATTGATATTTATGCATTCCATTTCATATTTTGAAAACTTACAATTTTCCTAAATTCATACTTCTTACATTCCATGTTCTGATTATTAATGGATATTTGCTGCTGTTTCTTCCCATTTTTGTTGTGGCCCATGAGCAATTGAAGATCCTGAAACTTTTGCTCCATCCAAGTTGTTAAAGTCAACTGTTCCTTGAGGAGGCAATTCTTCCCTAGTCATATCTAGAGTGCCTTCCAACCTGAGGGGCTCATCTTCTGGAATTATAGCAGCATCATTTCATCCCTATACATAAAGTTTTCCAGTAGTATATCAGACAGTGTTTCATGGCTATTCATAACGTTTTCAGGGGACAATATTTCCAGGACTGGATGGCCCCATCTTTCTTCCTAGTCTGTCTTAGTCTGGAAGCTCTGCAGAAACCTGTACAAAAAGGGTGATCCTGCTGGTATTTGAAATACTCATAGCATACATTCCAGCCTCATAGAAGCCTTTGTTTTAGTGTAGTTTGGATTTCTTCTTTCAGCACCACAGGTTCTTGATCATATACTACCTCCTGAAATGGTTGAATATGGACTAATTCTTTTGATACAGTGACTCTATGTATTTCTTCCAAATTTTGATGCTACATATGTAAATTAATATTTTGCCCTGGTAGTTGTTAGGCAAGTTGGCTCCAACTCATAGTGACCATATGTACAACAGAATGAAATACTACTCAGTCCTGCACCAGCTTCACAATTTGCTATATCTGAGCCCATCATTGCAGCCACAATGTCAGTCCATGTCATTGAAGTCCTTCCCCTCTCTTGTTGACTCTCTATTTTGCCCATAGAATCCTTCAGTATTACAATTTGAGGCTTGAATTTTTTTCTTCAGTTCTTTCAGCTTGAAAAAGGCCTAGCATTTTCTTCCCTTTTGGTTTCTTAACTCCAGATCTTTGCATATTTGCGTATAAAACTTTACTTTTCTTCTTGAGCCGCCCTTTGAAATCTTATGTTCAGTTTTTTTATCTTATCAAATCTTTTACTTGCTTTTACTTGTAAGTTACTAAAGCAAGTAACTTACTCTATGTTCAAGAGCAAGTTAAGGGTATGTGCTGGCATTTTATCTTGGGTGTTAGATATGGTTACTTTTTTCTTTCTCTTTTTTAAATTGTGATTTGGGTGAAAGTTTACAGAAAAACTCATTTTTCTCACAGCAGTTCATACACATTTTGTTTCATAACATTGATTGGTAACTCCATAATGTAAAAGCTCTCCTCCCACTTCCTCCTTGTATTTAACGTTTCCCTGTGTCCTTCTTTTCTATGTATTCCTGACCTTTGAACTATCTCTCTGTGCAAATACTGCTCTTCTGGTCTCCTATGATTGATTGTTCTAAGGAGTGTACCTGCCTTTTGTAAATGTTCACTTTATAGACCTTTGTATTGTTTGTCTGGAACCCACAAGAGTGAGTTCAGTTCAAGGCATGAAGAATGACTAGGTGCCTTAGTCTTGGGAGTTTCACCTATCTCTATCAAACCAATAAGTCTGGTCATTTTTATGATTTTGAGTTTCTTTCCACATTTTTCTCCCCCTCTTTCCAGGATTTCTTGCACTGATCCCTTTCCTAGTGGTTGGCAGTGGTAGCTGGGCAATATCTTCTTCTGGTTTCAAGGACATATAGGATGAGGTTCACAGGGTCCATTTGTCCCTTGGACTAATTGTTTCCATATGTCTTTGGTTTTCTTCATTCTTCTTTGCTCTGGACAAGGAGAAACAAATTGGTGCATCTAGATGGCCACTTGCAATCTTTTAAGATCCCAGTCACTATCCATCAAAGCAGGATGTAGAACAGTGTTTTTGGTAGTATGTTATGCTGATTGAGCTTGGTGTTCCCTGAGACCGTGGTCCTGAGCCCACAGGTTCAACAATTCAGTCTCTCAGGATGGTTGGCTGTGGCTAAGAAGTTATCATAACTTTGCCCTCTGTTAGTTCTGTTTATATGGACATTCTTACAGCACATACAAATATGTATATAGAAATATCATCTGCCAACATTATCTGTGGTCATGAGTATATTCCCTTTTGCCTAGATATACCTGATGCACTTTCACATATACCATATTTCATTAACAGTAATAACAAACATTAATCTATGGGTAAATACATAGGTAAACCAAAAAAACAAATTCACAGTCATCAAGTAGATTCTGACTTATAGTGACCCCCTTTGGGTTTCCAAGGCTATAAATCTTTACAGAAGTAGATTGTCCAGTCTTAATTCTGTGGAGTAGCTGGTGGTTTTCAACTGACAACCTTCTAGTTAGCAGTCAAATGCCTTCGGCACTACACCACCAGTGCTCTATTAATTATTTGTTTAGATACACATATATATATCCCTTCAGAAACTATTAAATCTTCAAGAAAAAGACCCAGGTGTTATTGATATTTATATCACTAACACCAGGCAGAGTCCTTGACATAATATTTTCATTAAATATAATTCTTAATTGAATTAGATTGAATTATAAAAGTAACCATATCTAGACATACTTGATTATTCAGCCTATCTACCTAGATAGGTAGAATACCTAGAATAAAGATTCAGATCGTATCTTATAGGCAAAGAAATAATCTGAACATATATATATTTATACATGAATTGTGTATGTATATCTGTCTATCTCTATCTATCTATCTATCTATCTATCTATTTATAATTTTAGAAAGGTAATTCTAAGTGCAATCTGAGTAATGGATTACCAAAAACCATACCCATTGCCATTGAGTCGATTCCAACTCATTGCTACCCTTACAGGACACAGTAGAACTGCCCCATAGGGTATCCAAGGCTGTAAATATTTACAGAAGCACACTGCTGCATCTTTCTCCCATGGAGTGGCTGGTGGGTTCAAATTGCTGAGGTTTTGGCTACCAACTGATTACTTTAACAACTTTGTCACTAGAGCTCTTTGAATAATGCATCAAGGGGTATAAATATTTAAAGGAAGAAGAACAGTTTGCAAACCCTTACTGTGATGTAGGCAATGATGATGAGGATAGGATTTCAGGCACCAAAAGTGGAGATGGATGTTTTAAGATGGCCAAGTTTATCTCCAGTGAATAATATCATTTTTTTTCATCCCAGTAAATAATTGTAAACTTACATACAAAACGTACCTGTTTTTATATTCATTAATAGGGACTGATATGTTATTTGAACCTCAGATGATTATTTTTCACCAATTATATCTGAAAAGAAAATATACATTTCCATTTTTGGAATAGGTGAGAAAAGAAAGAAGAGATGAAAAAGAGCAGTGTCCTAAGATACTCTTGAATGTCTAAAAGCCTAAATGAACTGAGTGGATAAATTTAGTTTGATTTTGTCTGGCAATAGTGTAGCAACAGAAAAGGTGTTTTTTGATCCACATACCCATAGTCTTCCTGGAAAATTCCCAGTAAAATGACCAAAAGAAATAGACATTGAAACATATCCAGAGAAGAATAGAATCCTGATACAAAGCTTCAACCCAAAACCAGCAGTGAATGATCTATATTAAATTCATTTCCAATATTTTTGAGCTAGTTTTGGACTCTCCACCCACCCCATAGCTTGAGAAACAAGCCCATAGCCAAATAATATGTTAATGGGTGGCCAGTTATCACCATAGTCTGTTAGTAAACTCTAATATTGTTGTAAAAAAGTTTGAAGTTACACCCTCAGAGGTGATGTAAAATATATCTTCATTGAACATGTAGATAGATATATACACACCACTATATGCTCACCATGATACTATTGTGAATGAAGCCTTTCCTGTACCGTGCAGGCTTCAAATGTGGATACTCTTCAGTGCTGGTAACTTGAATATCCCAGACCTTCTTCCATGCTGCATAAAGCTGTATATGAACTGGGTAGACTCCTGAGTGATGTGGTGCCACTGCATAGCCCATGCTGACAGGGATCCCATGCTCCTGAAAGAAAGCCAGAACAACATCATGATATGGTATTGAGTTCAATTAAAAATTTTCCATAGGGATTTATTCTGGTTACTTGAATTCTGTGCTAAGTAAGTAAAATAATAATAATAAAAAAAACGAACTAGCAAACTAGAGTCTTTGTCTTTTAGCAGCTTAAAATTTTAAAGCACTCTGATGATATAATACAAATAGTAATTAATTTGGGCAACTTGAATATGGATAAGATTAATTTTGAATTTAGAAAATTAATTTGACTTTTTCTCAAATATATACTGAAAAAAAAAGAGATGGTGTCACTTAAGCAAGTGCCCAAAGATCAAAGGGAACCACTTGTGCACTCGTGTGTATCTGTGTGTGTGTTTGTGTTGGTAATGGTAACAGTGTACACTATACAGCAGGAGAGAGACACCATGGTCTTTAACATAACCAGGAAAGTAAATATTAACCATAAAGTTAAGAGTTCTTACTGAAAAACTGGGGGATTTAGATTTATTTCAATTCAAATAGTGTAGAAAAGGAAGCTTTCTAGTGTAGAAAAGGAACCTCTCTGAGCATGGAGGGCTATGATCTGCTTTGTGTTTCAGGAAGGAAAATATGGTGACCACATGTCAAAATGAGCTAAAAGTGGGGAGATAAATGAATTAAGTTAAACATGAGGAAGATGTTGCAATAATGCAGATTAGAGGGAACTTGGGTACCTAAAAGAGATTACTGGTGGTCAGATTAAAAGGCAGGAGACACATGCCATATAAGATCCAAAGATATATTGGATAGAGTGAGAGAATAAAAAAAAATAAAAGTTAAGGTTCTTCTTCTGTTTTTGAACATTTATAGCTCAAGTTATTTTTATAAAACAGACACTTTAATGTGGGGATGCTTACCTTTGGTAAACAGAAAACTCTAAAGGAAAACAAATATAAATGAAAAAAAAAATATGAAAAAAATTGTCAAACACTTGTATTATATTACTGGGTCCATAAATTGATCTGCAGTTTTCTAATTTCTGCATTTTATATCTTTCTCTTTAAATTAAACATTTATCTTCTTTATAAGAACTCCTTGTAAGATTGAATATCATCAATTGTGATTATAAATGACAATTTACAGTCATATGTGAAAGCTGATTGAATCAATAAACAGAGCACAAAAGTGTTGACAATTGCCATTTATATTTTCTATTACATGGTGTACAGCATAAGAAAAGAATTCAGTCTGGTGTAATAAGCAGTGAATGGATCACATACCTCCAATGCCTAAGTCATATGCCACACTTGGCTCAGAAGATGAGCCCTGAGTGTTTCAAAAGACTTCATTATTCTTTCTTTCATTGAATGACCCTCATCATATAGCCAAATTCACCTCTCTTTCACCAAGACTATGTGTTTTCTAACATCTATTACAATAAATGGCTCTGTAGAAATACTGAATTTTGAAATCAATGCTGTAAAATGAATTTGAGCCTTTTGCTACACTCTAGGGAAGATTAATTTCTTGGTACCTAGAGAAGAAAAATACTTATTCTAAAAGCTTTTATTTCCAAACTAAGGCAAGATTGGAAAAACCCAATAAAAACGCTACTTGGAAGATACAGGAGGAGGAGCAAGCAACTGCTATCACCTTGACACATCACTAAGGGTTGTGCCCTGGGAAAGCTTAGTTCTCTCTGGAAAGTTCCATGCTGCTCAAGTAATCTGAGGATGAATGTCTTCTTATAACCTTGAAAATGTGTGCTGTGGGTACTCTGGGTATGAGACAGAGACTAACCTCCTCATGAGAAAAATCTAGGGTCAATAGTGTTCAAACCCCACTTTTTGGAAAATAGAATTTGTGTGATTGCAGCCTAGAGAAGGAATTTAGATTTACAGGAAAAGAAAAAAAAAAAAAAAAAGTCTGTCACATTCCTATTACTCTCTAGAGTGATTCACACTGCAGCTACATAATAGACTCATCCTATAACTTGAAAAATGTCAAAATCAACAGTGTACAAATTAATAGCCTTCACTAAGCATGCTCATAGTCCTCATTGGGTACCATTTTATAGATATATATTTTAAATATGGCACTTAGAATACTAAATTAGTGAGAGTCCTAAAAACAAAGAGATGAAAAATGAATTCAGTGAAGTGAACTGCAGTATCAAACAACTGTATCTCTTCAGGGAAAAAAAAAAATCACTTTTGACAGGTAGTAAAATGAATTGTAGAATTTTCATGAAAAAACCAGAAGGTAAAAAGCAATTGATTTGGGCAGTAGGAAGGAAGGGGCAGTAAAAAGATTTTATTATATTTATTGATTTCTGGGGGCTCAATGTTATACTGATTATAAGGTCATCTTATCACACTGGCAATTGGAGCTCAATCAAAATTATAAATCACCCTTAGATAATTATGAGTTTATACTTTTTCAATATAAATGATAACACAGAGGGAAAAGTAATTCCCTAGGCACTCTTTTTCTGTTATCAAGGGGCTTAATTGTCTAGATATTTTCATTCTTTACTGTCCAGGACTTAAGACCCACTTCTTCACAGACTTGGTCAAGCAGAAGGTGAACTGAACATCATCTTTACATAAGATCACCAAAATTACAAGGTAAGAAAGACTTTCCAGTGTATATATAGGACATACTTTAAAGCATAATAATATACTATATGCAACAGAACACAAAAATTCAAATATTATTATTATTATTATTTATTAAAACAATGTCTCTCACAAGATCTAAGAATTCTATAATATGTTATGACTTTCTACCACTCATATTAGGAGCTCTGGTGGCATAGTGCCTAAAGCAATTGACTGCTAACCAGAAGGCTGGAGTTCAAACACATCAGCTACTCCTTGGAAGGAAAATTGGGCACTCATATATATAGGGAGTTTGACTTGATTTAATTTTTCAGTTACATTAAATTCTTTGTTGGTTGGAGAATAAGATAGTGTAGTAATTTACATATTATATGAAACTAGGGTCATCATGTTTCAACAATAAGGATAACATAAAATGTGTTTAACACTAAAGCTCTATCAGCAACTGAAATTATTTCATTTAAATTTTCTTCAATCATCTTTTTTTTTTCTTTTATCATAGCTCCTTGTCATTACTTATTGTTGCAGTCAGTTATTTGATTCTGACTCATTGTGACCCCATGGGACAGAGTAAAAGTGACCCATAAGGTTCCCAAAGCTATAATCTTTATGGAAGCAGACTGCCACATTTTCCTCCCACAGAGCAGCTGGTGAGTTCAAACAACTGACCTTTCAGTTAAGAGTTGATACTTTAACCACTGTGCCACTAGGGCTTCTTTGTAATTGCTTAGCATCTGATATTTTTGGAAGTGTATTAATACATAATTTGATCCTCAAAAATAATATTGAGAGGCTGGATACTATTATCAAATCTGGAAATTGTGGCTCAGAGAAGTAAATGATTTGCTCATGTTCACAAGTCCTCTCAATTCATAGGCTCTGCTTTTGCTTTTTCACTAAGTTGTCTCTTACATGACCCCTCAGTCAATAATTGTAAAGTACTACACTTACAAAGGGAGCTCTGGTGGCATAGTGCCTAAGGCATTTGACTGCTAACTAGAAGGCCAGTGGTTCAAATCCACTAGTCATTCCTTGGAAGATAAAGCAATCTACTTCTGCAATGATACTGCCTCAGAAACCCAAGGAGGGGTCACTAAGGGTTGGATTCAACTCGATGACAGTGAGTTTGGTCTGGTTTTGGAGTATACTTACAAAAGACAATTAATTTGAACATATACTTTTGAACTGGAATTCCTATGCAACCTCTTTTACTTGGAGGTATTATACAGCAAGTTAAAGATCCACATTTCCCAGACTTCTCTGAAGCTATGGTTTTTCGTGCAAATGAATTTCAACTAATTAGACATTCAGGACAAATTTCAGAAAGCAGTAAGAAGACAGAAGACAAATTCTGGCCAGTTCTATCTCCTGTGGCTGGCACCTGAGAGCTTGAAAATAAGGGGCTGTTTTGCAGCTGTAAATAGTACTCATTTGCAGGGGCAGCAGTGGCTGCTTATTGCTTAGGCCAGAGCTCCAGTGGTAGCCTCCAAAGTCATAGCTCCCTCAGGGAACAAGTTCTATTTACCTCTGCAAGTCTCCATAAGAATACATGCTAGAATCTGTTTTATCAGCCCTTCCAAACTTTTTGGAAGCAGTTAAATCTCCGAAATAAAATATTCCCTGCTTAAAATACCTAAAGTGGCTTCTGTTTCTAGCATGGAGACCTGACTGATACAGGTGGTCTTTACCTCTTACTAGTAAGTTTAAAGTGAGCTCCTTATGGTACATGTAGTTAATATGCTTGGATGCTAACCAAAAGGTTGGATGTTTGAATCCACCCAGAAGGGCCTCAGAAGAAAGACTTGGTAATCTACTTCTGAAAAATCAGCCATTTCAAAACCTAAGGAGCACAGTTTTATTGTCACATCTGAGGTGGTCATAAAATGGAATAGAACTCAGCGGCAATTGTTGTTGGTTTAATAACTGTGTTGTTTTTGGTAGGTTCTGGTAATTGGTTTTGACTCATAGTAACTCTCTATGACAGAGTAGAACTGCTTCATAGGTTTTTCTTGGCTGTAATCATTATGAAAACATATCTCCAGGACTTTCCTCTGTGGTGCCACTGACAGGGTTTGAACCACCAACCTTTCCATTAGCAGCTAAGGTTTAATTTTTTGCACAACCGGGGTTCATTTTAATATGTATAAAATATATAGAAGATTCAATTTAGAAGTCTAGTGGTTTCAATTCCAGGAAACTGGAAGAGTTTGGTACAGTTTTTGCCAATATTTCTCCAATAAAACTGGTTGATAGATGACCAACACTGATTTGCCTAGCTGGGAACTACTGTGCAATACATATGACTGCTAAACCTTATGCACCAAGGAATTCCAGAAAATTTAATTATGCTCATGAGGAATGTTCACACAGATGAAGAGATAGTCCTTTGAACAGATTTAAAATCAAGAA